ATTCTCCTAGAATATGGTCTTTCTAAAAGAATAGATTCCTAAAAATATAAGCAGCATACAATTGAACCAATTAAATGCAGGTATTGGCCCAGTGAGGATAATGCTATACTACACAGAAATCTAGATATATGATCCTCTGGTGATTGCTTCAGTGCACTTACATTCATTCCAAACCTAAGAGTGGGGAAAAGACAGAATATATTAAAAATTGTAACTGAACTGGCTTAGTACTATTAGCAGAAATGTTTCTTTAGGTATGTACACTTCCTTTTTTGCTTTGCTTTTCCTATAAATGTTTGTTTACAGTAAACAAAGAAACAGATTGCTTTCACATATCCTCACTATCAATTTTTGTACTGGCCTGATTGGAATGAACTGCAGTGCTGTAGTTCAAAGTTGAGACAAAAGAAAGAATCAGATTCCATTGGCTACAAGGGGCCATGACATCAGCATGTTGATTGTGGAGGAACATGAAGCAACATGCTGGGAAGAGATAATACCAATAGCTGAGAAAACCTCTGCATTTTTCTCAGGATATAACCTCTAATATTTAGTTATTTGGGATAAATTTTGACCTCAATAAAATGGCTAATACGATTCATGAGTATGCATGATACACAGTGGATTGGGCCCACTAGCTTTCCACTAAAGCAGGGTTGTCAAACTGCCGGCCCGTGGGCCAGTTTCATCATACCAAAGCCGAACCCACACTATTGCCGGCAATGCAAAAAGAGTCACGATACGTCGTGATACGTCATGTGACATGGCGGGTTTTACACCCGTGCACTAAAGGATCTTTAAGTATTTCATCTTCCTGCAACTTCCCTATAACTCCTGGGAAGATAAAAATGCTGCCACCGCTTTTCTTCAGAGAAATCTATTTTTGACCTGGTTTATTGCAGAAGCTAGTGGCAATCTTGCCCTTTTCACTACTTGATCTGATAGAGAACCTACCCAAATGCTTTCCCAAGCAGAAGTATAGCTGATTCATTATGAATTTTAATACTCTACAAAGTTAAACAAGTAAAAATAAAAAGTACAAAAAGAAAAAAGACACCCTCCCAAATAATAACCCCTGGGAAACTTGATTTTGGCCCACTGTTCCTTTATCCTGGATTCACTCTATAATCTCCACATTCAAATTACAGTCCATAAAAATAAAATCAAAATTCTAATCCACAAGTAGGTTTACTACCCTACACTTTACTGTATAATTCCTGATCTTCATCATGGACATATGTGAGTTCTGGCTTCTTTTCTTACCTGGATATTATTCGATCTCTGGGAAAAAGCTCCAATAGGACAGATAACAGGCAAAAGCAAAATGGAACCGCTCCCTCCTTCTTTTTAAAAACTACATCAAGAGTGAAAACTGTAATTTTAGATTGGCTCATTTGCATATGATTTTCCCAGACTATGACTGTCTCTGCCCACAACTTGGATGGACAGATCAATTAATTAACTCTATCAGTACTTGATCCTCTTGGAACAGGACTTCTCCGGCTCTTTTGTCTCTGATAATCTGAATGTTAAAATTATGCATAGCTGTGACTGAAATAATAAGCAGTAGTTCTGTGAGCTGGTAGTTTAAGACAGCAGTGTCAATTTTGTTTTAAGCTGGAATAAAGGTGACAAGAGTAGAGAAGCTGAAATTCAAGGTAAGGTTTAACAATGGTTATTTAATTACATAAATACCCTAATGTGGCTATTTATAATTAATGGGAGCTGTGAGCAGGAAACTTTTATTCCACAGTTAATAGAGAAATAGTTTCTGCCATTACTGTAGTGCATTTCTTGTATGACCTTTAGCTTGCATGAGAAAACAGTTTGCTGAATATTATAGTGGGTCAGCATGGGAAAACCAAAGGATATAAGCAACATGACATTACACAACTACAATGGAGGTCAAAATAGGGAATGTGTCAGAATGAGCATAGATTAGGAAGAAAGAAAGATTTAGGGGTCAAAATGAAGCTCTCATTATAACTAATGGGTTGCCCTCATATTTTCATAGAGTTGCAAGAGAATTCTTCTAATCCAAGCCCCTGAACAGCACTAGAATCCTCACAGCATCCTGGCAAAATAGCTGTCCAATTTTCTTGAAAATTTCCAGTGATGGAAGGTGCATGGTTTCAGGAGGCAGGCCTTTCCATTGTTTAATTGTCAGCCCTCCCAAGTAGACTAGACCATGAATTCAGGATGTCTAGAACTACTTTTACTGAGATTGGTTATTCTTTAAGATTTCAGTCAATGGTTCTGTGGTGACGCTGTCAGTTCTGTTGGTGGCACAATGGTTAGAATACAGTATTGTAGGATGACTCTGCCCACAGCCTGATTGGCTCAAGATTGACTCAGCCTTTCATCTTTCCGAGGTTGAAAAAATGAGGACCCAGATTGTTGGGCGCAATATACTGAAATTGTAAACCGTTCAGAGAGTGCTCTAAAGCAGAAATCCCTAATGTTTTGGGTACCAAGGACCGGTTCCATGGAGAGAGATTTTTCCACAGACTGGAGGGTGTGTGGTTTCATGGACTGCCTGCATCCCGCATATGGGGCTTTGCTTGTTTGTGCGGCCCCATTGCTGGCATGCCACGGCCCGGTACTGGTCCATGGACTGGGGGTTGGGGACCCCTGCTCTAAAGTACTATGGAGAGTATATAAGTCTAATTAGTGATTAGCTATTGCTAATACCCTGAGATGTAATCATTGGGTATATGACACTTAGATTCATTCAGAGCAACTTGAATCCATTTTCATTTGGAGTTTAACAATGATAAATCTAATAAACTTAAACTGGTAAATCTAGCAATAGATCCCACTAAATTTTCATTCCCTTACCTCCATGCTGTGCATGTATGTGAAAGAAAACAAAATACGGGTTTTAGTTGCCCTTGCTTTTTGTTTCTTGCTTCCTGTTGGTTAAAGTTATTTGAATAACAATTCAATACTCAGAATGGGTGTAGTTCCTTTTAGTTTTGAATCATCCAATTACTTCTGCTCTAGCAGCTTGAGGGTCTTCTGTGACAGGGATAGACAGACAGAAGTCTTTTCCTAAAGTTCATTACTTGCTCAGGTCAAAACACCAGACATCATAATTCCAAGTTCAAAACTTTTACCTAGCACTCAAAAGGATTTAGCATGAAATGTGGATGACATGTAACCAGTGCAACAGTGTTTTATAATCAAGTATAAACAATTAGTCCTTAGTCCTCTCTGAACATGGTTGTTTGTTTGCAGATATTTCATTACCTGATTAGGTAATAGCTTCAGTACTAGAAGAAAGGAGGGTTTGCTCTCTGTTTATGTTCAATAGCTTGCCTTGTCAATGTTGGAGGGAGTCTATCAAGGAGGAAACATCCCCCAACACTAATGGGACAAGCTGCTAATGTATATAAACAAGAAGCAAACCCCACATACTCACTAGCACTAATGTTAGCAAGTCAGGTAATGAAACATCTGCAAGCAAACAACCAGAGAACACCAAGGACTCCACAGTTCAACCCTGAGCTACATATAGTCTTTTTTTTATTGATAAACAACGAAATCTGCGCATGTCTAGTTTTAGACTTTTCAAGTTTTACTTTCCTAAAAAGGAAGAGTCTGATTTCTCTCTGTTCTACTTGACACACCTTATCTCTGTTGCTAAGAGTGTAACATTCTTTTCTATGTGTGTGACTCTCCTACTTCTGTGTAATGGCAAAACACTAACTTTCCTTCTAAAGTAACATTGGTTTAGCTTTTTAATAATTACTTTCTAACATTTATTATAATTCGCATGGCTGATGTGTTTCTCTTTTGTTATACACATTTTCTCTCTATGTCTGTCTTCTCTCGCTGCATCTCAAAAATTAAATTGTGAAAAAGCTTTGTTTCACAGAACCTTAATATACAAGGAGGATATGGTAATGAATTACTCTTAATGCAACAGTGGTCCCTACTGGCTATGTGGGGAATAACGTTGCTCCTCTCTACCGAGATGCGCGTGACAAGTGGTTGGCTGCCACGGGAGTAGAGTGTGGGAATACTAAAGAGTAGCAGGATAGCGCAGTCTAAGCACCTCAAGCGTTAAAATAGCGCTTCGTGAACTGCACACACTTTACATTCGTAAGTAGGCAAAGGTTTTCGTGGAGAGCCTCAGAAAAGCGTCCCCAAAGTTACAAGAGGCCATTAGAACTACAGCTCCCACCGCAGCCGGATCGGTGGTTTAATGGCATTCACTGGAATTCATAAACCCAAGACTTGAGGACAAGTCCCAGCAATCGAGCTACAGCGAGCGCTGGAGAAGTGGGTGGCGGCGGATGTGCGCGCGCCAGCAATCAACTTACAATTCCTTCTTTCAATCGCTTGTAACTGTCATCAATAAAGTGGGACTGTCCAGCTGTTGAATCGCTTCGGGCCATCCAGTCGCTTTTTATAAGCTTGCCGTCGCTCGCGCACTCTTCCGTACTCCCTTTCAGACCTGGGAGCGTGTTATGGCTCGATCTCTGAGTGCGCCTGCTGAGCATAGGTATTTAAGCAGCCAGCTCGATCCGAAGTTAACTGAATAATGACGAAAATTACTATTTTCAACTGAAAATGTCTGTTAGCGCGTTTAGAATATTTGATCTAATAATGGGCCCCCCTGGAAACCTTGCATTTACGAGACTTTCATGCTCATAGCAGGGGGGGGGGGGCTTATTGCTTTCCGTTGCGCAGTTTAACAGCAATCCTAATCCGGTTGAAGAAAAGTGAAAATTGTTTTTTTTTTCTCTCTCTCTTTTTTATTTCCCTCCTGCCCTGCCCCCAGATCATACGTAATCAGCAGCGCCTTATCACACGAGAAACGGTGTGCAGTTTTTGTGCTGTCTCTTCCTGGGCTCCTTGCTGGAGCGGAGAGCAGCGAATATATATCCATCCTTAGGCGGTGGAATACCCACAGCGGCACTGCCGAGCGCGCGCGCGCGCGGGTAGAAAACAAAACAGTCTTTCAATTGATTTTGCTTTGAGAACCGTCCAATTCCCTTTCTACGCGGGCTGGGTGTCCGGTATAGAAACGTCTTGTTAATGACTCGCATTTCCCCGCCCTCCAGTCGCCTAATGCCAAAACAAAAAGGAATGCAGAATGGGGCTTTTTTTTCGATAGTGAAGGAGGCAGCAAGTGGCGATTGATGCGTGGTCCTTTCTCTTGTTTATTGCCTTCCGCTCGCCTTCTCTCTCTCCTTTCCTCCGTATGAGTGAGTGGGAGAGGGAGAAAAGACGAGCGTTAGGACTCGGGGGAAATCTCCCCCCTTTCGCTTTTTCAATCAGCTTGTCTTCTTCCTCAGAGCAGGGATAGCTGAGGTTTCAGCCGCGTTCGGGAGATTTGCTCCAGTCCCAACTCTCCGGGTTTATCAATGCAAGGGATGTTTGCAGGACGCCCGGAGAACCTGCTCTTCTGCTGCTATTGCCGCGGGAAGGGCATATGAACTCCCTCAAAGAATGACTAGGATTGCTACGTTTGCCATTCTCTTGCAGCTGTTGCAAAGAACTCGGGGACAAGTCTTTGCAGGTAAGCGGCTCCTGGCTTTGGCGGGGAGCGTGGCTAGAGCTTTTTGAGCGTGTGTGAGAGAGCAGAGCTTTGCTTTGAAGTATACCAGCGCTTCTAAGGCGATCGGGATTGCCTTGCGTTGTTTCCTGTACCTTCTGCCTTCTCTCTCTCTCTTTCTCTCTCTTTCTCTCTGCTGTGTTCTGTTTACCTGGGTTGGGATGAATTTGCACGGAGCCCAGCTGGAAACAAAAATAGCTGAAGTCTTTTGTTCCAGGTTAGAATTGAAACATCCAAATAAGGGTGCTCTCTTTCCATGTGGCTTGGTCTTCCTTTCTTAGGAACCTTATAGATGTGCCATTATTTTTAGCCATTGGAAGCTTAAATGTTGACTCTTATATGATACTGAAGGCATCTTCTCTTTAGAGTCAAGACACTCCAGTCCTTTTTATAGCAAACAGTTGGTCTCCATCAAAGGAAAAGGAGAAGCATCAAGCATTTAAAAAATGTACATCAGGAGCCTTTAACTCAAAATTTGGCCAACAGAGTTACACTTTATTGGGTGATTTGCCTCTACAGTACAAGCCTCTCCATTAATCATCTAACCCCTTGGGATCTAGAGACTGGAAAAACTTGCACTGGATGGTTGACAACTTCCAGTTTCCATTTTCAGTTGCCAAAAGCTACCACTTTAATCTGGAAGGAGTTTGTGTTTCTGAGGGTGTGGAGATAAGGAAAAAAAAGTCTGAAAACCTTTTTGAATCAGCTTTCCTTTGTTCAGTTGGATCTTCTGATAATTTCTGCTCTAAAGAATTATACACCCCAAGCAGGCCAACTATATCTGGCTCTTACAGTACTTTATCTTACCAAGGAATATGTCAATGTGTGTATTTTAATTATGTCATTTTTATTTGGTGGGATTGCTACACTTGTAACTCAGGAAATCTATATTTATGTTTACGTATCTGTGTGGCTAAAATTCCTTTATGCAGGTATAGCTGTTTGCCTACTGCACATTTCCAAAGCTGGTTCCTGTTGGAACTTTCAAGTTTGAACAGTTAAAGAATAGTTTGTTCTTTCAACATATCCGGCTTTTCTAAATATACCCATATTAGCATCCTAAATAGGAGAGTTCAGAGTTCAAATGAACTGAACCAACACTTTTTGTTTTAATGGAACCTTTTTCAACAAAACCACACCAAAAATAAGCATAGATGTGATCTTATTAAGCTGTATAAAACACGGAATGGTATGGATAATATTCCCTTTAATGCAGTGGCATCTAGGTAATGCCATTTAGGTTGACAGGGAATGGAACCTTAGATTTTATTTTAAAAAGGGGGGAGGGGGAAAGATCAACTGGTAATTTCCTATAAAGGGGAGGTCATTTATAAGGCCATATGGGTCTACTAAATAAATAAATCTATCCCAGGTAAATATGTGTAAGACTGCAGGTTAAATATCTTCTTCATTGTTAGCAAATAGTTATTCAGGACTAGAGCATTTTATTAATGTGTAAATTTAAAGCAAATTGAGTTCCATATCAACTTGCAAGTTTAAAAGTTCCTCATTAATGTGAAGTTTGTTCAGCATGCTAAGCAGTAACTTATTTAACCATGGTTTGTTGAGTAAATCAAAAGTGATTTACCAATCATCATTTGCAGAGTTTACAGAACACAGGAATTCTGAACTAAAAAAATGCAGCTTAGTGTAATATGTGAGAATTCAAAGTACACATTTAGGATGGTTGTATGAGACCTAAACATGCATGAAAACATTGACCATGGTGGATGTTACAATCTCTGATTCTCAGTTTAAATTCTTGACAGAGGTTTTGTATGATGGTGAACATGGCAGATCTTTACTTCTTATTGTTGCAGTAGAATCAACAAAACTTCTCTAACATTTATTCATTGCCACCATGAGTCCTTCCAGATGTTCTGCAGAAAGTGCAAGTGACAATGATCAAGCTTCAATAAATTACATAAAGAAAAAGCAAGACTTTTAGGTTGGAAAAAGATGCCATTCAGGTTTTATTTTTAAAAAATAGCATTGTGATTTGATGCTCAAAATAAATTTCCATACAGTATATGAACACACAGGAGAAGATACACAGTTGCAATTTTTAAATTATAAACTAAAAGAAGATCAGGCAGCAACAATTAGCAGTGGGTTAGGAATTTTCATTGTCTCTGTTAATCACCATGTAATTCAGAATGTTAACTGCCACCCTTTTGATACTTTGTTGCAGAAGAGATAAAGAATATAGAAATAAATATGACTTTGTGTCTAGGTTGGTAAATGAGGCTACAGAAAATCTTGCTTCTTTTATTTTGAAGATTATACTTAACTGCTGAAGATTTAATGCCTTGCAACAAACTTGCACGGCTAATGCTCATATAATTAAAGAAAAAAAGCTCTGTACTTCTGTTGGATTTTAATATTAAAAATACACGAAAACTTCTTTTTTCATGTGCACTTCAACTGTTGTCCATCAGATGGCGCTGCCTTCATAGCTGTAATAATGTCACTATAGCTTGGCGCAGGACTTTGCCATTCATCTGTGTTTTCAGGACCTTATGTATACAGTTAGTTTCCATAAATGTTGTGCAGTGTCTACTTGGGAGAAAAAAAAAATTGGGACCCAGAGTAGTCAACAGTTAACACAAACAGACACAAAAACTGTCCTCCCTGCACTTAGATTATTTTTTGACCCAAAAAAATTACAACCCATATATACAAACAATTGGTAGGGTTTTATATAAAGGTATTTGATTTGGATTTAGTTCAGCACGTGCACGCAAACACTGCAATTTGCATACCATTGTTTTGCCAGTTGGCTATTGGTTAAGGCCATTTGCTAGAAACCAGGAGCCTATGAGTTCTAGTCCCATCTTAGCCATGAAAGCCAGCTGGGTGATCTCTCTCTCTCTCTCTCTCTCTCTCTCTCTCTCTCTCTCTCTCTCTCTCTCTCTCTCTCTCTCCCTCTCCCTCTCCCTCTCCCTCCCTCCCTCCACCCCTTCTCTGCATCTGTCTCTCCACAAGTCATCCCATAGGGTTGTTGTTGTGCGGAAATAGAAGGAAGAAGGTAGGCTGGATATGCTCGCTGCCTTGAGTTATTTGTTAAAATAATAAATAATAAAATTTTGCACTGTGGAGCCTTCATGGGAAAAGAGATCAGAATATAGAAAGCGATATCACATTTGCCATCATCTAAATAATGTATGGTGACATTAGTAGCTTGGATTCCTCTGGTGTGGTTTTGACATGAGTAATGGTTAAAACAACTATGACTTTCCATGGAGTATGAACCAGTGAAGTATGTGCAATTTTACACATTTATAGGCAATTTTACAAAGACTTTCAAATATTCTTTCTACTAACAACTTTTTCCAAACAAATTTGGCTTCTAAAAGATTTATTTGTAGCACTGATCATTTTGTGGCATCAGTTTCATCTCATACAAGGATAAATTTTTTGAACCACATATTTCATGAGAAAGATTAGTAAAGTACTGTTAAGCAAATTTCCTTTAATTCTGACTGGCTCAAGGTTGACTCAGCCTTTCATCCTTCTGAGGTCGGTAAAATGAGGACCCAGATTGTTGGGGGCAATATGCTGATTCTGTAAACTGCTTAGAGAGGGCTGTAAAGCACTATGAAGCGGAATATAAGTCTAAGTGCTATCACTATAACTGGTTATCTGCCATTGAGAAAACTTGCAGAAGACCATATGCTCCAGACCAGACCCATCTACCCAGTATCTTTTTTTCCATACTGATTTGTTCCAGAAACTATTTAATACAGTATATTGAATAAGTAAAAATTGGCTGGGTTCATTCAGAGCCCTAAGCGGTAAAATGTTTTACAAACTATTGTGTCTCACTTCTCACAGCATGCTAAACTGAAAGCAAACAAACCACATTTTGCCTCAGTGTATTAGATGAATCCAATTGGAAGATGTTTCTAGGAATGTGAGGGATGTAAATGTGTGTTCCTCCAAAGCTTAGAGTTATTGGGTATGGGTATATAATACATTCCCATAAACATGCATTCTCTTTCTCTCCGTCACACACATACATGCATGTGCGTGTGAGCACAAGCGCACGCACGCACACACACACACACACACACACAGACTTCTGCACAAAGAATTTCCATTTATGTTTTGCAATGGTATATATTCTTCATTTGCCTTTTAAAACCACTTAAGCCAGGCATCATTATATTAGTTCCTGATGGTACTTGGTTTTTAAAAATATTTTTTGTTTCTCCTGAATTTATATCCAGTGCTTATTATAATTCTTAGTTCTAATTAACATTAACAATTCCCTGAAATATAGTTTGATTTTTTTTCTTACTTGACTGCTTATATAAGAGGTGAAAATAATTGCTTGTTCAACAATTAGCATTACTTGCATAATAAGCAGACCTCTATCTGACAAAATATTTTGGGGTGATATTAAATACTTTTAACGCTAGACAAGATAATTCAAGGGGCAGTGATGCAACATGAAGAATCTTAAGCTATTTGGTAAAAAACATTTTTAATTGATTGTTATGATTTACTTGATATATTTCTGTATTGTTTGTGTTTTCTGTGTTATTATGTGTCTATCAGCAAACATACTGAGGTTTTATGTATGAACTTTCATTGCAGTAAAAGTAACAAAATAAAATGGAGCAATTCATGTGCTGTTTAAACTGATGTAGCCTATTAAGTGGGAAGTCCTGAGCAAAAATGTTTGAACTGAATTTTCTGAGATAGAATCAGCCTTTGACACCTAAATATGGGGAGGGGGGAGATGCTCTTTCTGTGTACTTGCAGGATTTTGATGCAGCAAAGCATTTTTGTTGCTGGAATGCATGGAAGTTGAAGTTTAGTCACTCTTTCTCATGAAAGCTTCCACCATATACACAGAAAGATTTGTTTTAATATCTGGGGCAATCCTTGCAACAGTTACCTTCTTCTCCCTTTGTTTCATTAAGAGAGTAATCGCTTAAGAAACGTTGCTTTTGGCAAAA